AGAACGGGGTCTATGGCTTCATCGGCCGCGCGCCCGCCGGCTCGCCGGGCTTCACCGACACGACGATCGAGCCCGACACGTCCGACGGACCGCCGCAGGCCAAGAACCCGTTCGACGCCGCCGACAAGTATCCGGGCTGCTCGACCTATCACGAGGGCCGGCAATGGTACGGCCGGACCAACCAGAAGCCGCAGACGCTCTATTCGTCGGCCTCGGCGGCCTTCAACAACATGAACACCTCGACGCCGTCGAAAGACAGCGACGCGATCACCCGCACCATCGCCAGCCGCGAGGTGAACGAGATCCGCTTCCTGCTGAGCCTCAACATCCTGCTGGTCTGGACCTCGGGTGCGGTATGGAAGGCCTGGGCCGGTGCGCAGGCCGACGTGATGACCCCGGCCAATTGCGCCGTGAAGCCGCAGAGCTACGAGGGCATCGCGGAGATCCCGCCGATCGCCACCGAGAGCAGCGCGATCTATGTCACGGCGTCGGGCAAGAAGGTCCGCGACGTCGCCTATGAATTCGCGTCGGACAGCTTCCAGGGCCGCAACGTCTCGATCCTCGCCGGCCACCTGTTCGAGGGCCAGACGATCGAGGAATGGGCCTATGCCCGCGATCCCGACGGCATCGTCTGGTGCGTGCGCTCCGACGGGGTGCTGCTGGGCTTCACCTACCTGAAGGAACACGACGTCTACGCCTGGCACCGGCATGTGACGGACGGCCTGGTCGAAAGCGTGGCCTGCGTCACCGAGGGCAGCGAAAGCATCCTGTACCTCGCGGTGAAGCGCACCGTGAACGGCCGGACCGTCCGCTATGTCGAGCGCATGGCCTCGCGCTACTTCCCCGACGTCTATTCGTCGTGGTGCGTCGATTCGGGTGTGCGCTACGATGGCTGGAACACCGACGAGGACGTGCACCTCACCCTGTCGGGTACGACCTGGAACACCGGCGACACGGTCACGATGACGGCGGCCGGGCATACGCCGTTCACGTCGGCCTCGGTCGGCGCAAGATACATCCTGCGCCGCGGCGAGAACCAGGTCGCCGTCACCGTTTCGGGCTACACCGATTCGACCCATGCCAGTGCCACGCTGGACACCGCGCCGCACGCCAGCCTGCAGGCGGTGGCGCTGTCGGATTGGGCGCTGGCCTCGCTCACGCTGGGCGGGCTGTGGCACCTCGAGGGCGAGACCGTCTCCATCCTGGCCGACGGCTCGGTGCAACCCGAAGCGGTGGTGACGGGCGGTTCGGTCACGCTTCCGCGCGCCGCCGGCCGCATCCTCGCCGGCCTGCCCTAT